CGCCCGTGGGGTTGGGGGTTGTCCCCCCCCCCCCCCTCCAGGCTGCTCTGAACATGCTCACCAAGTGCCTGGCCCTGGAGTACGGGAGCAGCGGGATCCTCTGCGTCTCTGTGGACCCCGGCTGTGTGACACCTCCCTTGGGAAGGGGGACGGTGAGTGATGGGAGCTGCATGGCCACCTCGCCTTGGCAAAGTCCCACTGGCATCCCTTCCCATGGACATACCTTCCCAGGGGCATCCCTTCCAAGGGGTTTCCCTTCCTATGGACATCCCTAACTGGGGACATTCCTTGCCATGGATGTCCCTTCCCATGGGTACCCCATCCCATGGACATCACTCACTACAGGCATCCCTTCCCATGGACACCCCTCCCATGGACATCCCTTCCCAGGAGCATCCCTTCCTGGGGGCATCCCATCCCATGGCCATCGCTCCCTACAGCCACCCCATCCCACGGCCACCCCATCCCACAGCCACCCCATCCCACAGCCACCCCACCCGGTTGCACCCACCCCATGCATCCCCTCTCTCCCAGTGGAGCTCCCTCACCACGGCAAAGGGCCAACTCCAACCTCTCCCCCTAAACCATACCGTTTCCTCCCTATTTTTAATTTCCTTCCCCATCCCGTTGGCGCGTCAGCAGAGGGCACCCCGGCCCCGCTCTCGACCCCAGCTGGAGGGCTGCACCCAGCGCCCCGCGACCATCCTCACCCCAAATTCGCCTTCTCCTCTAACCGTGCCACGGTTGGGGATGAGCAGCCTCTCGCGGCGCAGCCGGGCAGGCACGCTTATTTATTTTATTATTTTTTTTTAATTAGGAACCATAAAATTAACCTCCATCCTCACAGCACCCAAATTAGGGAGGATTAATCTGTGCACATCCCTCGGCTGCTGGAGCATCTCCAGCCTCTCCCAGCCCACCCCGGCTGTGTGGTTGGGGACTGGGGTCACCAGGAAGGGGGTTTTGGCTGATTTTGGGTTTTTTTGTGCCCACATCCAGGGCCCGGTGACGATGGAGGAGAGCGTGCGGGGCGTCCTGCGGCTGCTGGCCCGGCTTTCGGCCACCAGTAACGGCACCTTCTGGGACTGGAGAGGGCAGAGCCTGCCCTGGTGAGAGCAGCGCCCAGCCACGGCGGGCGCCGGGGTCATTAACGGCCTTTTCCGGGCTCGTTCTGGTTCTGTGGGGTGAGGGTGGGGACCCCCCTGCTTGGGGGGTGGGAGGTGGGGTCACTGTCACCCCCGCCTCCCCCAGGGATGCTGAGTGGGGTCAGAGCAGCAGAGGGAAGGATGCTCCAAGCGTGGTCCTGCATCCCGCTGCCGGGGCATCCCCCAGAGCTGAGGGATGCCCCCCTACTCCGTGGCCATAAGCCACCCTGGAAAGTGGCCTTCGGGGACCGGTGGCCTCCTAGACAACCCCGAAAGTGTGGCCATGGAGCATCCTTCCAGGAGCTCAGCATCACCCTGCGGAGCCCCAGCTCCTCAAAAACCAGTCAGCCTTTCCCTGCCTGCCCTGAGGATGGCGATGGGCTTTATTTCTGCTGGTTCCAGCCCGGCGAAGGCTCTTCCTCCTCTGGGGGTTTCCCAGTAGGACCATCTCCCAAAGTCCTTAGGGATGTCCCTTTTGGGACCTCGGCACCTTGTCCTGGGCCAACCCTCCCATCCCATCTCATGGCGTATCGCGGGGTACCGCAAACAGGCGCCCATTTCCCCCCCGGGCGCGAGTGCGTTTCCGTGGCCGCTGGCAGTTGATGTTTTTGGAGCCATCCCTCGAAAGAGGGACGGGGG